CCGGTGGCTCACACTCATAATCCTAGCTGCTCAGGAGGCTGAGATCTGAGGATCGTGGTTCAAAGCCAGCCCAGGCAGGAAAGTCCGTGAGACTCTTATCTCCAATAAACCACTCAGAAAACCAGAAGTGATGCTGTGGCTCAAGTGGTAGAGCGCTTGTCTTGAGCTGAAGAGCTGAGGAACAGCGCCCAGGCCCAGAGTTCAAGCCCCATGACCGACAAAAAAAAGAAAATGTAAAAGAAGATATGCATAAGAATTTGAATTAGATGGATCCATTTATTAAATATACTTTTACTTAATTCCTGCGTAAGAGTTTCTACATTCATGCCCTGCCAGGTTTTAGGCATCACACAGCAAGGCCCGATCTGATGCCTGCCTTCCTGTTCACAGTGTACCGGGGAGCAAAAGCCACAATCACTGTAGCTGCAGAACACTTACATCGAGTGTGCCTACCATCAAAAGCCTGGTGGTCACTCATTTTAAGAATGGGTTACTTTGGGGCTGGGAAGGTAAAGCGCTTGCCTTGCATGCCTGAGGCCCTGGGTTTGATTCCTCAGCACCACATAAGCAAAAAGAAAAAAGTCGGAAGTGGCGCTGTGGCTCAAGTGGTAGAGCGCTAGCCTTGAGCTGAAAAGCTGAGGGACAGCGCCCAGGCCCAGAGTTCAGACCCCACATCGGACCCCCCCAAAAAATTCTGTTCACTAAAACTAGTGTCCCACTTTTCTATTAAAAACATTCACACAGGGCTGGGAACGTGGCTTAGTGGTAGAGTGCTTGCCTAGCATACATGAAGCCTTGGGTTCGATTCCTCAGTAACACATAAATAGAAAAAGCTGCAAGTGGAGCTGTGGCTCAAGTGGTAGAGTGCTAGTCTTGAGCAAAAGATGCTCAGGGACAGCGCCCAGGCCTTGAGTACAAGACCCAGGACTGGCAAAAACAACATCAACAACAACACAAAAACCCAATATTCGTACAAAGCTGGGCGCTGATGGCTCATGCCTGTATTCCTAGCTACTCAGAAAGCTGAGATCTGAGGATTGTGGTTCAAAGCCAGCACAGGCAAGGAAAGTCCATGAGACTCTTATCTCCACTTTACCACCAGAAGACCAAAAGTGGCACTGTGGCTCCAGTGGTAGAATACTCACTTTGAGCTGAAGAGCACAGGGACAGTGTCCAGGCCCAGAGTTCAAGCCCCATGACCAAAAAAACCCATTCACACAATGTTTCTTTTCAGGAGTGAATTATTTAATTGAAGCACTTTTTAATGACTAATTTATTCCAAATAAATTAACACAAAGAACCAGAATTACAGCAAAACATAGCTCTGTGCATATACATGCTTTATTAAAAGTAATAATTGAAGTATATTTCTATACAAAATTTATATAGGAACCTATTATAGAGAGATCAGATTAGCAAGTGACTGATGAGAATTAGAGCAATAGTTGTGCATTTTGCTTTTAACAGTTCTATTGAATTTCATGGTGTCTCAGCTTTGTGTCATCTAGTATTAATGTTTATTTTTGGTCTGTAGAGGCCTGTTGTCATCTGAAGGGCTAATTCATCTACATTCAGATACCAAGGTATGAAATCAAACTTTCTGTGAATAGTGACATTCTATAGAAGTTATTTTTCCTTAAGACTTAGAAAAAAAAGAGTTTGATTCATTAGAAATGGGATGTAAAGTTAATATTCAGAAGGAATGCATTCAGGTAAGTGTTGTTGACAAGTGGAATAATTTTTTTTCTCTTTTGGTCGGCTGTGGGGCCTGAACTCTGGGCCTGGGCACTGTTCCACAGCTCTTCTGCTCAAGGCTAGCGCTCTACCACGTGAGCCACGGCGCCACTCCAAGTGGAATAATTTTTATCTTATAATTTCACTAAGTGGAGTAGTGGACAAAATTCTAAGTAAAATGAGTTTGTAGCATGAGGCTTTCTTTCTTTTTTCTTTTTTTTTGTTGGTTGAACTCAGGACCTGCTATGCCCTGTCCCTGAGCTTTTTTGCTCTACCACTTTGAGCCACAGCTTCATTTCCAGGTTTCTAGTGGTTAACTGGAGATAAGAGCTCATGGACTTTCCTGCTTGAGCTGGCTTTGAACCTCCATCCTTAGATCTCAGCCTCATGAGTAGCTAGCATTATAGGCGTGAGCCACCAGTGCCCGGCTTGTAGCCATTCTGATTTGTAGCAAAATAGCAATTCCATGGGCTAGGAAGTTGCTTTCCTTGGCAAATGATTAGACTCTGATTAATTAATATAGTTTTAATTCTTTCCATGTAGCCAAAGGCCACAAACATTGTTCCTATAAACAAGGTTCCAAACAAACTGCACTCTGGAAAAAAAGGAAGACAAACAAATTCAAGGTATTGTATAGTTCAGGAAGTATGACTTTCATTTTTAGTTTTATAATTCACTGTACTCTTTATTCTTAATTATGAGTTTTTATACCTTTAGTAATAAGGCATACAATATACAGCTGGTCCACAACCAGGAATTTAAACCATTTCTACTTTGAGAAGTTTTTAAAATAGTTAATGAACATTTTATAATATTCTCCTGTGCAAAATCATTGTACTCCAAAACATTTTTCTTTTTTTATTTTTTTGGTCCGTTGTGGGGCTTGAACTCTGGGCCTGGGCGCTGTCCCTCAGCTCTTCAGTTCAAGGCAAGCACTCTACTTACTACTTGAGCTACAGCGCCACTTCCGGTTTTTTGGTGGTTTATTGGAGATAGGAGTCTCATGGTCTCTCCTGCCCGGGCTGGCTTTGAACCGCGATCCTCAGATCTCAGCCTCCTGAGTAGCTAGGATTACAGGCGTGAGCCACCAGCGCCCGGCCCAAAAAAATTTTTTATGCCTGTCTTGGGGCTTGAACTTGGGGCCTGACCACTGGCTCTGAACTTTAGTGCTCAAGGCTAGTGCGCTATCACTTGAGCCACAGCTCAGTTCTGGTTTTTTCTTTCTTTTTTTTTTTTGTAGAAGAGTTTCATGGTTTTTCAGGCCAGGCTGGCTTTGAAACACGATTCTCAGATCTCAGCCTTCTGAGTAGGATTGCAGTTGTGGGGCACTGGCACCCATCTTGTATTCATTTATTATTTTGGTAATACCAGGGTTTAGGTTAAGGGCCCTTACATTTGCTATGATGGTATTCTAATACTGGAACCATGTCTCCCCCCCACCTTTTTTTTTTGGTGCCAGTGCTAGGGTATGAACTTAGGGCCCGATGCTGTCCCTGAACTTTTTTTGCTCAAGGCTAGCCTTCTTCTACTTGAGCCAGCCACAGCTCCACTTCCAACTTTTTGATGGTTAATTGGAGATACGAGTCTCACAGACATTCCTGCCTGGGCTATAGCTTTGAACCTGGATCCTCAGGTGTGAGCCAGAGGCACCTCACTTGTTATTTTTAGGATAGGGTGTCATGCCTGAGCTATGATCCTACTACTTTTAGACTTCCCTTCGGTGCTAGGTTCACAGGCATGCACTGACCAGATCCAGCTTCCCTCTGTGGAGCTCCAGCCTGAAGGACTTTTCTTCCCCAGGCTGGCCTGGAACCTCCGCCTTCCCATCCTGTGTAGGCTGCGATGGCAGGCACACACTACTGCACCCAGACTATGGGTTGAGGAGTTTGGTGAACTTTTTCTCACCAGGCTGGTAGCAAACCAAAATCTTTCTGATCTCAGCCTCCCACATAGCTAGGATTCCAAGCAGGAGCCACTGGGGCCCGGCTTCTGTTTGTTATTTTAAACAAGACACTTTCTTAGCTCTTGAGCACTTGGCCTGGTTCTATCAAACAGTCTAGTCTTCTATTTCTTGAGTATTTAACACACTAGCATACATTACTGTATAACGGTAAGGTAAGAATGATTGGCATACTCTTAGACTACATTGTAACTATAATTTACATTCAACTGTTTTTGGTGAGATCAAATTCAAGTCCGTTATTACTTTAAGCATAAAAGAGGATCCAGCTGGGTGCTGTCACGCCTGTAATCCTAGCTACTTAGGAGGCTGAGATTTGAGGACCGAAGTTCAAAGCCAGCCCAGGCAAGAAAGTCTGTGAGACTTTTTTTGTCAGTTGTGGGGCTTGAACTCTGGGCCTGGGCCTCTTCAGCTCAAGGCGATCGCTCTAACACTTGAGCCACAGTGCCACTTCCGGTTTTCTGGTGGTTAATTGGAGATAAAAGTCTCACAGGCTATCCTGCCCGGGCTGCCTTTGAACCGTGATCCTCAGATCTCAGCCTCCTCAGTAGCTAGGATTACAGGCCTGAGCCACTAGGGCCCAACTTGTGAGACTCTTACCTACAATAAACTACTCAGAAAAAGCCAGAAGTGGCAGTGTGACTCAACTGGTAGAGTGCTAGCCTTGTGCACAAAGAGGCCCAGGGATAGCATGTAGGCCTTGAGTTCAAACCCCAGGACTTGGAAAAAAAAAAAAAAGTGAGGGGGATCTAAAAGGCTGTCAAGGATAGGGAAGTTTCTAGAAGGGGAAGAAGCCTGGACTGTACCAACCAGCCAACTATTGCTTGTCAGGAAGTTATTAAATGTACTTGTCTGTTTCTGAAGATAAAAAATGTATGATTCTGGGAAATTTTTGTGTCTTTTAATTGCTAAAAACAACTTTTTTTAATTAAAAAGGAAGAAAAGTGAGTGAAGTGATAGGAAGAGAAATAATATAAATTGGATGGAAAACTGTGTGCATCACTGGAAATAAGTTACCTTGTTTCTTGACTTCACATTTACTTTTTAAGGAAAATAGTGTTATTCTAAGTAGAATTCTGAAGTTTTTTTTTGGGGGGGGTCCGGTCATGGGGCCTGAACTCTGGGCCTGGGCGCTGTCCCTCAGCTCTTCAGCTCAAGGCTAGTGCTCTACCACGTGAGCCACAGCGCCACTTCTGGATTTTTTTCTTTTTGCCTATGTGGTGCTGAGGAATTAAACCCAGGGCCTCATGCATGCAAGGCAAGTGCTCTACCACTGAGCCACCTTGCTAGCTCAGAATTCTGAAGCTTTTTTCTTTTTTAGATTAAGTAGTTGTATAAAGAGGTTACAATCCCCTAAATGAGGTTCTGAGTATAATGCATCTTGGTCATTGTCACCCCTTCCATTGTTCTGCCCCTTTCCCTATTCTCAAGTGAGTCCATTCAATTTTTACAGATTTTTACAGTGAATATAATTTGCTCATCCTCCATTCAAGTGTTTCCCCATTGCTCGTCCCCCCAAATATGTTTCTGCTTCCTGATATTCATGTTTTTTTAGGTAGTTCATTAGTTATTCAGAGTATACCTTTGGACTGAATCTTTTTTCCTTTTCTTTTTGTTGGTCATGGATCTTGAACTCAGGACCTGGACACTGTCCCCGAGCTGCTTCTGCTCAAGACTAGCACTCTACCACTTGAGCCACAGTGCGACTTCTGGCTTTTTCTGTGTATGTGGTACTGAGAATCAAATCCAGGGCTTCATGCATGCTATGCAAGCACTCTACCACTAGCCCACATTCCCAGCCGTGGACTGAAGCTTTGTGTGTTGAAAATAGGTAACTGAGCATTGGTGGCTCATGCCTGTAAGCCAAGCTACTCAGGAGGCTGAAATCTGAAGATCAGATTTCAGTTCAAAGCCAGCCTGAGCAGGAAAGTCCATGAGACTCTTGCCTCCAGTTAACTACAAAAAGCTGGAAGTGGAGCTGCGGTTCAAGTGGTAGAGTGCTAGCCTTCAGCAAAAGCAGCTCAGGGACAGCGCCCAGGTCCTGAGTTCAAGCTTCACTATTGGCACCGAAAAAAGAAAAAGGCTTTTGGAATTATAGAATCATTGTGATTTTCTTCAATACCTTTGGAAATGACTGATTTCCTATTTCTTTCTCTACTGAACAACAAAACAATCTGATCTACCTTAGAATGTGTTCCCCTAGATGGGAAAAAATGCTGAGTTTCATTAAGCTGGTGACTATTTGCTCTGTAGTTGTTTAGTAAGGTATTGCTCTCGGTTGTGTGCAGAATTCTGGCCAGTTTTTACAGATACTGTCCAGCAGCTAGATATGATGTAGGAGACCAAGGTCAGTCCTTAGTTTTGATGTTCATGAGTTAAGAGGAAAGTTCTAGACCACTTAACCTCACAAAGCCTTCTCCAGCTCTGTGGTGTGCTATTCAGAAAATCTTCTAAGCCTATGTTTTGTTCTGTGTGTATGTTCCAGTACTGAGGCTTGAACTCAGGGCCTTATGCTACTCTTTAGCTTTTTCACTCAATACTGTGCTCGACCACTTGAGCCAAAGCTTACCTCCTGCTTTTGCTGGTTAAGTGGAGATAATAGTCTCAGATTTCTCTTTCCATGGGTTCTCCTTGAACTGTGATCCTCAGATCTCAGCCTTCTGAATAGCTAAGATTACAGGTGTGAGCCACCAGCGCCTGGCAACTAAGTCTCTTATAATGTAGCCCTTGAAAGTATCAATTGTAGATTTCATGATGTTTCAAATTTACACTAATTTTGTCTGTGTTTAATATTTAAAGTCATAGCAGCTCTTTCTACCTTTGTGTTCCTTTTGGAGGTACACTAGTGTGCAGACAGCCAGCGATGTTGCCCTGCCAGAGGATTGCTCAGACTTTTCCCTTGCAAAGACAATTAGCAAAATTGAAGGACAGCTGGAGGAAGAAGGCTTCCCCGAGCACACAGATGATGACATTTTCTCCAGCATGAGTACAGGTATTGGGACAGATGAGTTTTGTTTCAAAGCAATCTCATACTCTAATGGTAATGTGGTGATTTGCGGGATGGACAGGATTCTAGATGAAATAAGAGGCCTTGATGACCAGGCACCAGTGGCTCCCACATGTGATCCTAGCTACTCAGCAAGTTGAGATCTGGGGATTGCAGTTCGAAGCCAGTGTGGGGCAGGAAAGTACATGAGACTCTTATTTCTAATAAACTACCAAAAAGCTGGAAGTGGAGCTGTGGCTTAAGTGGTGGAGCTCAGTGACAGTGCCCAAGCCTCAGGACCCACACACACAAAAAAGATACGCCATGATGAGTACTGATTGAAGATAGGTAGTGACCAAGTGGGGATTGATTGAACCTTTCTGTTCTTGCGTATACATTTGATATTCTCTATTATAAAGTGTAAAACTTAAGGCAACACAGTTTTTTGTGTTTATCAAATAGTTTTGAGGTCAAATTAAAACGTGCACTAGCAGCTGGGCCTGAGAGTGTATGCCTGTAACCCCAGTAACCTGGAGACTGAGCCAGAGGCTCGTGAGTTCCAGGCTGGCCTGGACTACATGGTGAGACCCTGTCTCAAAGAAACCCCCCCCCCAACCTATGGCTTAGCACTCATACAAAAACAGTGTCTCTGAATTTTATTTTTATTATATCTTGTCTACTGCACATCAGTATATGGAAAAGGAGGAGCGTACCTGTTATAGCCTCAGGTACAATAACCAGGTGAGCTTCCTAACAAATTTTTCTTCTCATTCACTCATCACTAGGAAAAAAATGTACGATTTCAAACTGTCTCTAAAAGCATGACATAATTACCAGTAATGCTTCTAAGATAGTTGAATTTAAGGGGAGTCTCTGATGTTATTGAAACAATTGAGCATGTTTCTATACTAAGTTACTGTGCGGTACAAATCATTGTGACGTCAGACAAGCCACTTGTCGCTTCTCAGTCAGACCCATGTTAGAGCCGCATGATTTTGTCTTTAAACAATTTCTCATTTTGTGAAAAAAAACTCTGAAGAGTTTTGAGTTGCATATGATTTTGTTTAGTGGTTCATTTATTCGTTCATTGCATTTAGGAAATGGGGGGAGGGAGGAGGAGCGAAAGACCAAGTCATTTGCCTTTGGTCTCTGTTCAGGTGTCTTCCAGGTGCTGATTGCTCTAAGTGCACAGTCCCCATGGCCCTGCTTTCCCATACAGAGAACCAGGACCCAGAGAAAGCAGTGCTGCACGCACGGCACTGCTCCTCCGCTGAGGCCCTCTTCCGCCCTCAGCGTGTCCCCTCTGCTGTCTTGCCCTAATCCTACCCTACAAGCTTGCTTGTTAGGACTGGATTATGGTAGGGATGGAAAGATCTAGAGGAAATTGGGAGCAGATTCCTTTGAGATCCGAAGCTGGGTTTTGCTAGAGAAGAAGGATTTGTGTTTGGGGACATTTCCTCTCGGGGATCACTGCGCGTTCTGTTTGATGTGTTCTGTAGCATCGTGCTAAGGATGAATGCAGTCCACAAACATGGCCACTCATTGTCCCTCCCTCTCTTCACTCAGTTCCACCGACACAGTTCCTTGCTATTTTTAGCCAACTAGATGTATTTCTCATTTACATTACGGATATTGAATGTCTTTTGTATTCCCTACCATGGAACGCCTAATAAGAGTCCCAATTTTGAGCATTTCTTCCTCATAAAATATGGTCTGTTTTGATTGCGATAATAAGTATAATCATTGAATCCACAGAGACGCAGATCAGATTTCTAAAGGCCAAACTCAATGTTATGCAGGAGGAATTGGATAAAGTTGTATGTGAATGCAATAAAAAGGTAAGTTTTTAAAAATATCTCAATAGACATGCTTTATAATTCAGAGACTTCTGAGAGACAATTTCAGTTTTGAAAAGGTAGCCATGTTCAGATATAATCCACAGTTTAGAAATTGTATATAGGTACTGAACTTTATTCTGAGAAGGTTGCATTATTAGAGGTCAAGAATTTGTAAACTTTGCATGAAACTTGTTACATATATATTAAATAAACTGATGGACAGAATCAAAAACTTAGAAACTTATCAGAAAGGTAAGCAATTAACATGAAATATCTTCTATTTTTATATTTTTGTTAAACAGGTATAAATATCTTATTAAGAACTATATGAAGCTTTTTTGTTCACTGTTCTGTTCTGATACCAAATCTTTTTGCAATTTTCACTTAATCTATTTATAGGAGGATGAAATTCATGATTTAAAGTCACAAGTGAAAAGTTTTGAAGAAGATTGCTCGAGACAGCAGCGAACAATCACTGCGCAACTGTCCCAAATAGAAAAATACAAAACTCTTTTTGAAGAAGCAAACGCACGATGTGACGGGCTGCAGCAGCAGCTGCTGGCCGTAGAAAAGGTTAGCCTTTTACCCCTCGCTCAGAGACAAGTTGCTCAAGCCACGTCTGTGTCATTGTTTCATTATTTAGTTGTTAGTATTTGCTGAGAACTCTCTCTCTCTCCCCTTACTTACCCATACAGGGGGTGGTTTACTCGGGGTCTAGGCACTGTCCCTGAGCTTTTGTGCTCTAGGCTAGTGATCCACTCCTGGCTTTCTGGTGGTTAATTGGGAATAAGAGTCCAACAGACTTCCCTGACTAAGCTGGCTTTGAACTGTGATCCTCAGGTCTCAGCCTCCTCTGTAGCTAGGATTACAGGTGTGAGCCACCGGTGCCCAAATAGCTTGCTTAACTTTTTTTAAGATTTTTCTTTCTCCTCCCTCCCTCTCTCCCTTCTTTCTCTCTCTCTTTTTCTTTCTGCCAGTCCTGGGGGCTTGAACTCAGGGCCCGGACACTTTCCTTAGCTTCTTTTGCACCACTTGAGCCACAGTGCTAATTCCGGCCTTGTTTATGTGGTACTGAGGAATAAAACCCAGGGCTTCACACATGCTAGGCAAACACTCTAACACTAAACCACATTCCCAGCCCATAGTAGATTTTCTTTTTTTTTTTTTTGGGTCCGGTCATGGGGCCTGGGCTCTGTCCTTCAGCTCTTCAGCTCAAGGCTAGAGCTCTACCACTTGAGCCACAGCGCCACTTCCGGCTTTTTTCTTATGTGGTGCTGAGGAATCGAACCCAGGGCTTTGAGCATGCAAGGCGAGCGCTCTACCACTGAGCCACCTTCCCAGCTCCATAGTAGATTTTCTTAAGTGACTATTTTTGCCAGGCGCTGGTGGCTCACACCTATAATTCTAGCTACTCAGGAGGCTGAGATCAGAGGCTCCAAGCCAGCCCAGGCAGGAAAGTCCTTGAGACTCATCTCCAATAAAACCTTTATCTCCAGAAAGCCAAAAGTGCTCTGTGGCTCAAGTGGTAGAGCGCTTGCCTTGAGCTGAAGAGCTGAGGAGCGCCCAGGACTGGAGTTCAGGCCCCATAACTGACAAAAAAAAAAGGGAAGGACTAGAAGAGAGGGAAGACACTGTACGAAAGGAAATGGATTCATTACCTGACTCGTGTTACTGTAATCCCTCTGTACATCATCATTTAAAAAAATTTTTTCTTTGTGAGTCGTGGGACTTGATCTCTGGGCTTGGGCGCTGTCCCTGCACTTTTCAGCTCAAGGCTAGTGCTCTACCACTTGAGCCCCAGCGCCACTTACGGTTTTCTGGTGGTTTATTGGAGATAATAGTCTCACTGACTTTACTGCCTGGGCTGGCTTTGAACCAGCCTCTTGAGTAGCTAGGATTACAGGCTTGAGCCACTGACACCCAGCTTGTACATCACCTTTATAATAGCATTAAATTTTTTTTGAAAAAGGTTCAGTTTAGACAGCGTGTTTCCTTTCTCCCGTGGACTTTCTCACACAGAACTTTTTTTGCTGCTTCCCTTTGTCCTGCTTCCCAGTAGCATCATGGGTTCAGAGGACCATGTCACATGGTGATGGAGCTCTAGTCACTTGCATATTCTAGTGACAGAAGGCAAAAGCCAGGTGGCGCCAGCCGTGGACTGCCCAGCTCCTGAGTGGATTTGCTTTTGTCATGGGCACAGTGAGCTGCATCGCGTGCGCTCTCCACGAGCTGTGCAGAGCCTGCCATGGCAGATGGCGTCCGCGCACAGCTTGATCTGTTTAGCAACGCACAGGAAGAGCAGCATGTGTTTTGTTGTTTTGTTTTCTTTTCCCCCTTAATTACTCAAGCCATATAAATCTGTATTCAAAGACGATGTAGGGATACAGCCAGGAAAAAAATAATTTAGAGAAAAACACAGACAAGTCTATTTTTAAGTGTATTTCATATCTACAGTATTGGCTGAGAACCGGCTTTGTGTAAGGCTCAGAACCAGACCTTAGGCTGTAGAGGATATCAAGAATGGGCTGGGCGCCCCTGGCTCATGCTAGCTACTCAGGAGGCTGAGATCTGAGGATCAGGGTTCAAAGCCAGCCCAGGCAGGAAAGACTGTGAGACTCTTTATCTCCAATAAACTATGCAAAAAGCTCAAAGCAGAGCTGTGGCTTAAGTTGTAGAACACTAGTCTTGAGGAAAAAAAAAAAAAGCCCAGGGACAGCTCCCAGGCCCTGACTTCAAGCCCTGCCTTTGGCACCAAAAAAAAAAAAAAAAAGGCCAACTTATAACCCCCCCCCTTTTTTTAAATCAGGGACAAGAACCCTTGGGTTCTTAGCTCAGTGGTGTGTGTGTGTGTGTGCGCGCGTGTGTGTGCGTGCATGTGTAAAATTTGAGAGAAATCAAATAATTTAGAAATGAAAAATGCAAGATGTAAGGAAAGGAACTTAGGACATTTAAATACAGCAGTCTTTTTACTCCATAGGATTTAGAAAATAAAAGGCGACTACAAAAACAGGCTGCAACTAGTCAAAGTGCCACGGAGGTTCGCTTGAACCGAGCCCTGGAAGACGTGGAGAAGTACAAACTGGAGCTGAGTAAATTAAGGCAGAATCACAAGGTGTGCAGACTTGGGATAGTGCTCACCATTGGTAACTTCTTTTATGCAAACATCTAAAAGAGTTCATGTCATGATGCACATTTCTCTTTTCAAGACATTTTTGTTAAGACCATGTACATTTCCCACACATTGACATTATATACTTTGACTGTTAGATAACTGGGTGACAGGAAAACCATGGAGGGTTCATTCATTTCTTCATTCAAAAGAATGTAGGAGGGGCTGGGAAGGTGGCTCAGTGGTAGAGTGCTTGCCTTGCATGCATGAGGCCCTGGGTTCGATTCCTCAGCACCACATAAGCAAAAAGAAAAAAGCCAGAAGTGGCGCTGTGGCTCAAGTGGTAGAGTGCTCGCCTTGAGCTGACGAGCTGAAGGACAGCGCCCAACCCCAGAGTTCAAGCACCACGACTGACCAAAAAAAAAAAAAAAAAGCCTGCTTTTTCTTTTTCATACAGTATATGGCAAAAGACTCTTTCAAACAAAATCAAGTATTTACTTTGCAGCCTAAAGGACTTAATGGATAATCAAGGTCATTTGGGGCCACTGGGATCTAAAGGCTCAAGGTCATTTGGGGACTTGAAGTTTGTTAAGTCCTTCTTTTTCTTCCCAGTTATTTCCTCCACAAAAACACTGGAGCACAAGGAAACTCTCAGAACCTATTTTAATCTACCAATCACACATGGATCTTATTGTTAGTACATTGCTTTGTATTATATGTAACCATAAGACTAAGGTCCTGTGGCCAGGCAATAAATACTCGTAATACTCCAGTAACAGAAATCCAAAATACACACTGTCCCTGAGCTCTTTTACCCAAGGTTAGCGCTCTTTGAGCCACAGCGCCATTTCTGGTTTTCTGGTAGTTAATAGGAGACTTTCCTGCCCAGGCTGAATTTGAACCCACTCCTCAGATCTCAGGCTCCTGAGTAGCTAGGATTTATGGGCATGAGCCACCAGTGCCCGGTGTGAAACTCATTTTAAATAATCACAGTGGGTCTCAAGTCTATATGAAATGTCACTCTTCTGGAGTTTTGTTTTTTTTTTTTAAACAACTGAGGCTATCTGCTAGCACCTAGTTACTCCTGAGCACTTCTCACCTATACCCAGCCCTGGTGTCACTGATCACAATGCTCCCACACAGAGCACTGCAAATGCTCTAGCGTGGTGTGCTTTTAGGTCTCCTGTGCTGACAGGAAGAGGAGGAGAACCTCCCCAGTACAAGTACGTAGCTCCCATGTACTCTGGGTGTCACAAGCAGCTCCATTTGGGAGATGTTTATTTAAAGGGACCCAGGGCTCAACACCTGATGAGGATTTGCCCTGCTGCAGACAGGGCCACCAGCAGGGGACATCCTTGTCCTCAGCGGCCACGTTTACTTCTGTGCTAGTGTCCCAAAGACTGCACCTCTAGCTGACTCACTGACCTTAGGGAGATAGCCCAGTAACTTGGCGGCATGCTCTTTGAGAAGTTTCAGCCTTTCTTCTTCAATGATGGTGTCGATGTAGCCTTGCTGCTTCTGCTGCAGCTGCCACTCCTCCAGTTCCCGTTGCTGCATGAGAAACGCATGCGTTAGCTGTCACGAGACCCACTGACTGCTCGTCAAGTTTTACAAAAGGAAAGAAAGATGCTAAAAAGTTGATGGTTCAAAATATACTAGTGTTTATCTCACACATTGTGTTCCATGCAAATACATTCTACATCCATATATAAAAGGTGAAAGTTACAACAATTGCAGTTATGGGTGGAATGTTTTGTTTTTTGAGGTGCTAGGGCCTTGTGCATGCTAACGAGCACATCCAAACCCTTATGACTGAACTTCTATGAAGGCAACTGTAGAATTTTAGGAAAGTGTCTTCGTATTGAAGAAGTATTGAAAGGCATAAGTGCCTAATAACTTCATGAAGCGTGTATGGAATGCTCACCATATGCCAGGTGCTACAGTTCTCAGTGTGACCAAAAGAAAAGACTCAAAGAGGGAAGAGCCATTAAATAGTCTCACACAAGCAAACGTGCTAGCATGAGAACTCAAATTTCTCAGAAAAGATTCTCAACACTTGTAGCTAACCTTGTCAAAACTATGCCATAAACTGCAAATGTCAGGACTTAGCCTAAGGTTTTAGGACTTAGAGGGACTTGGGAAATGATATCCAAACAAGCTTGTTAGATAGCCAACCCCTCCAAGTTGTTGGAAAAACAAATAGATGCAACAGCCATCTCCAGTGCCCCTTAAAAGCAGAACTCCTCATGTGAGTATTTTTGTTGACCATAGAGTTAGATGGGTTGGACAACAAGAGAAGTGTTGCCCACGGAGAAAACCACTCACCACCAGTTCTTGAATCAAGGGTTAAGTTCCTCCTGGTCATCTCTAAGAGGAAGCAAGGTAACAGAATCTACCATGAAATTGTTCTACCTCACCTATTTTTTGAGAGCACAATTCTAAGGCTTCCACAGGCATGAGTATCATGTGGTATCTTCCGGGAGTGTTTTCGGGTACCTTTTATGATGTCTTTACTTCTATCTGCTGCTTAAAACATGAGGCTGAGGAGAGCTGCCCCCACCAGGGTCATGGGGAGAAGCTAGACAGGGCTTGCAATGCTGAACCCTGGGGAGTGCGGCCTCCACTCCAGCCTCCAACCTCCTATCTCCATCTAGACTGTCATTCAAGAGAGCATGAGACCACCAAAGCCACGGCTGACTTGATCCTCGCCTTCCAACCACACCTAACCCTGACTGGCTCATCACTCTTTATAAAAGGACCAAAGAAGAAAGTTTCCTAGCTTTGTAAGAAAAGCAAAGGCAATAGATTTTTGCCCAATGATGCAGGGTCTTCCAGTGAGTCACAATATAGGATTTCCCTTCTTAGGACATAGTAAAACTGTTTTATCTAGAAAATTATCCGGACTTAGTGTAAATGGTTTAGGAAAGTATGGAAACAATCTGCTACTTGGGACAGATGCTCCAGAGCTCTGATGGTAGGAAATGATCCTCTGGTGGTTTTCAGAATATTTTTGTCTGCAAATGTTTAGAGGAAGACAGAATTGTGGGTAGGTACTTAGAACTATCTCTGAACTGTAAAAAGCAGTGTTCAAGTCTAGGAGGACTGGACAGGGTGAGGATGAGTTGTGTCACTATAAAGGTCTCTCCTTGTCCTGGTTCCTGCCACGCACCAGGAGCTGAGGCCTATAATCCTAGCAACTCAGGAAGCTGAGATCTGAGGATCAAGGTTTGAAACCAGCCGAGGCAGAAAAGCCCCTGGGAAACTCTTACCTGCAATTAACTACTAATATTACCCATTCATTAAAGATGGAATGCATAGTAGTTCCTACTAGTCATAGCCTATGTCTTCTCCTCCTCTGTGGAGGTGGAAGATAACCATGTCTCTCCTAGTCTGACGTGGAGTGTTCAGTGAATGAACAGTGCAGCTGGCTGCTGTTAAGGGAACCACCCACCCCCAACCTCTGACCTTGTCTGCAATGAACTGTTTGCGCCGCTCCTCAATCAGTTTCTCCACTGCCCGCTTGTGTTCCAGCTGCTTCATCCTCTGCTTCTGAACATTCATCAGTTCTATGCGGTCATCCTCGGCGAGCTTCGCTAGCATGGCTTTTCGGAAGCTCTCCTCTTCCTCTTTTGCGGCTTGTAGTACAAGTTCTCTCAGTGCCATTTGGTCGTCAAAATCTTGCTTCAACTCTTTTTGCTTTCTCAGTTTATCTTCTGCTTCCTCCTAAGCAAAAAAGTTACCATTTCCTTGCATTGCATTTCTAAGGGAAGAGTAGGAGAGGCTGCGTGTGGTAGTACATGCCTATAATCTTGGCTAAGGGAGGAAGACTTTGGGTTTCAGGCCAGCTTCAACTAACTATTGAGCTCAAGGCCAGCTTCAACTATCTATTGAGCTCAAGGCCAGCATAGTTTATAAAGTAAGACCTTATGTTAGCAAACGAGAGGTTTCTATATTCAGTGTGCAACTTCATCACTGCCCCCAGCTCCTTTCCAACCTCACTTCACCTCTTTCCAGCCTTGTAGCTACAGAGCATTAAATTTTTCCATCACTTGATTTTATTTCACATGTATGTACATGCCTGATCTCCTGAAAACAAACTTCCAGGGGACATACTTTTTTTTTCTTTTTTAGTACTGGGTTCACAGTAATGTACATTTATTTTTGTGCTGATACTGGGGCTTGAACTCAGGGACTGAGTGCTGTCCCTGAGCTTTTTGCTCAAAGATACTGCTCTACCACCTGGGCTATAGTTCCATTTCCAGCTTTTTTTGTGGTTAATTGGAGATAAGACTTTCAAGGGTTTTCCTGCCTGAACTGACTTTGAACCTCAACCCTCAGATTTTAGCCTCCTGAGTAGCTAGGATTACAGACAGGGTGAGCCGCCAGAGTCTGGCTCAAACGTACATCCTTGTCTTGGTGCTCATCCCCTAATCTCTGAAACTTACTTTGAGCTTCCTTGTACACATCTCGGCCCACTCTTCCTGGTATAGCTCTTGACGCACTTGTTCCAAATCGTCACGTTGCTGCAACACTTCTTCCAATTTCTGAGCTGCCTATTAAAAAAAAATTAGAGAGCTCAAATTATAGAGATATTTCAGAATTTCAAAGCTCCTACAAAAATGGTTATAGTTTGTGTGTGTGTATGTGTGTGTGAGTGAGAGAGAGAGAAAGAGGGGGAGAGGGAGAGAGAAAGAGAGACAGAGACAGATGCAGAGCCAGAGAGTGTCCTGGGGCTTGAACATAGCTTCTTTTGCTCAAGGCTGGCACTCTTCCACTTTTGAGCCACAGCTCCAATTTTGCCTTTTTGCTTATTAAATGGAGAGTCTTATGGACTTCCCTGCCCGGGCTGGTTTTAAACCACAATCCTCAAGTGTTAGCCTGAGTAGCTAGGATTACAGGCAGAGCTAGTTATCTTAATACCTGTTTCTGAAGATGTAGCCTTTTCTTCTCATACTCTTGAATTTTTGCAATTCGCTCTTTTTCTCTCTGCTGCTGTATCTCAACAAACTCTATGATTTTTTTGTTTTCTTCTTCCATCTCCTCACGTTTCTTGTTTTTCCAGAGAGTCTGCTCTTTCTGAAACTCTTCAATATACTTACGGGTTGCATTCATTTTTTCTAACTTGTGTTGCTTTTCCCTTAAAAATAGGGGTTATAGTTTCACAGTTAATACAAATAATAGAGTAGAAAAATAAATTCCAACAAATACTGGGGGAAAACATCTTTCCAATCGATAGTCTAGTCATTTATTAATGCAATTCTCATTTTGAATAAGTACTATGTGCTGCTACACATCATGTAATCCCTGTGTTTTCTCTGGGACGATCCTACAGATCTCTAACCTGCTGAGGTTTTCAGTCTCTCATTACGGAAAGACTAAAGACCACGACCTCGTGACACTCCAAGTGTCCCAAGGGGAATTCATAGACAACCTGTCCTCCAGCCTGTAATATGATTCACCTTTAGTAAAACCAAGTCAGTCACTTAACAGCACTTGCCGATTATCACGTGGGATGAAGAGGAGGAGCTGGGCTCTGTGCATGTGCACGGCCCGCACGCAACACACCTGCCACGCACTAACCTTTACAGCACACCAAAGACCAAGGTCAAGGCAGGAACTTACAACTCATCTTCTTCACAGATCTTCCTCATGATCTCATCAATCATGAGTTTTTCCTTCAGCAACTGCTCATAAGCGGCTTGCTTTTTCCTTTCCTGTTCTTCCAGCTGCTTCTCCAGCTCAAACTGGTACTGAGCCTTTTCTTTATTCCGTCTGTCCTCGGCAGCGCTCTCCTCCGCCAGTGCCCGCTCGTATTCCTCCTTCATGGTTCTCCCTATTTCGGCATCACGTTTCTGATATTTAAGCAAAAGGCATTTTTGCATTTGCAATTTGAGCACAATGTGACACTGTTTTACATTTTGCATCTGAAGAGATCAGAGTCTGTGACACGACAAAAATGCTTTCCTCTGGCTATAAGATCAAATGTTGGGTCTGGAAGGGATGAGCAAGAAATCGGACCCTTGGAGCTGTGCTGTAATCCAAAACTTTGAGGGCGTCATACTGGGAAGGGAGATCGAGTCTAAGTTCAAGTTAGTTAGTAACATTGGAATTCTGGTAGTTTACCACTTAAAGTCAATCCTAGCTACTCAGGAGGCCGAGATCTGAGGACTGCAGTTTAAAGCCAGTGCAGGCAGGCAAGTCCATGAGACTCTTTATCCCCAACTAATCAGCAAAAAGCTGGAAACTGGATCTGTGGTTAAGTGGTCAAGCACCGGCCTTGAGTGTAAAAGCTAAGAGACAGCACCCAGACTCCAGGTTCAAGCCCCAGGACTGGCACACAAAATTTAAAATGTAAAAATCTTAACATTCTAAAACAACATTATCATGCTAATTATTACACTATATTGGTTTGTTAAAAAATAAGAAGTTCGCATAGAGCAGCCTGGGAGTTACTGGGGCCCTGGAGGCTTTGACAGCCAGGTGAACGTGGTTCATAGCAGTCACTAATGGTGTGTGATAAAGATCTAAAAATCTCAAGATCAAAAAAGGAAGCTACAATAAAGAAAAAGACTGAAATCGCATTACCATTTCCTCATATTTCATGGCGTCCCTCTCCACAATCTGGGCTGCCCTTTCTTTATTCATATAAGCCGCTTTTAATTTCGTCTCCAATTCTCTGAGCTCAAGACTGAGGGAAAAATATGAATGTAAAATTGATGGTAAGAGAATGAAGCCTCCTAGAAAGTTGACCATAATTTTTATTTTCTCAAAGACAGTATATAACCAGTATCATAAGAGAAGGAAGTTCATTATGTTTCATGGGTTTAAGCTGTATATGCTTGAGGATTGGTCTTTTTTTTTTTTTGGCCAATTCTGGGGCTTGACCTCTGGGCCTGGCTGCTATCCCTGAGCTCAAGGCGGGCACTCTTCCAGTTGAGCCACAGCACAATTTCTGGCTTTTTTGAGTGTTTTATTGGAGATAAGTCTCATGGACTTTCCTACTTGGTCTAACTTTGAATTGTGATCCTCAGATCTCAGCCTCCTAAGTACCAGGATTATAAGTGTGAGCCACTGGTGGCCGGCTGTTCCTAGTTCTTAATTTTACATCTCCAGATGTTTTACTCTTGAAATATATATCTCAGTCACCTAGTCTACAATGCTAGAGCAGAAAGCTCAGCTAGGGGCTCACACCTGCAATTCTGGCTCCTCAAGAAGCTGTGACCTGAAGAATACAACTTCAAAGTCAACAGAAAAGTCTTTGAGATGTCATCTCCAAAATAACCATCTAAAAGCCAGGCTGGAAGCATGGTTCAAGTGGTAGAATGCCAGCTGAGCAAGCAAGGCAAATGAGAGCACTGGCACTCTGTTTAACTCTATCAATGAATTAGACAAAGACATGAGAAAATAACTTTTTTCATCCTCAGAGGGTAAAAAGCCAGGAGTGATAGCAAACCATGATTGGAGAATGGAATCCAAAGAGACAGCCTGAGACAATATACAGATATTGAGGGTAATTTTAATTTCTTAAAATAGGGACTAATAATCCCTTAAACAATCGAGCTGGTTTATTTGTTAAACAAATAAATAACTACTGAGGCTCAGAAGGGTTCCTGACTATTCCATAGAAGTGCTATACAATTCCGATAAAATGTAACAGATGTCAAGGTAAACTGCCAGGATGTTCAAGCGCACAAATACAGGACAGACGTTCTGTTGGCACTAAGTTTCTATCAACAGTGTGACATGGCTTTCCAGCACAGCATTGGGAAATCGACTTTAGGATTCTACAAGTCTATTCTGTAATAAAAGGTCAATTCAAATTTATGCTTAGAGGACAGACAGTCTGATGTTTTGTTTTCACTGTAAATATTTATACTTTATCTTCCATGAATGCAATTTGTTTCCTCAAATTAAAACTTTTGGATGGACTTAGGTGCGAGAAGCTGACATCTGTAATCCTAGCAACTCAAGAGTGAGATCTGAGGATTGTATTTTAAACCCAGCCCAGGGAGACACATCTGTGACATTCTATCTCCATGTGACCAGCAAAAATGCTAGGTGGGAGGCATGGCTCCAGTGCTAGAGCACTAGCCATGAACAAGAAAGCTAAGAACCCAAGGCTCCAAGTTCAAGCCCTGGTATGGCACAAAAATAAGGAAAAGAATAAAGAAGCCCATGAAAGTTTCACAGTAAGTACAAGGCAAGCAGAATTAACAGAAACCAAGATACCTGTTCTCTCTCACTTGCTGCCGCATTTTCTCATCCTTCAAGCTCTCATGTTTCAGTTTTGCCAGTTCCTGAGCCAGTTTCTCTTCTTGTTTAAGCTGCAGTTCCCGTATCCTCCTGTTTTCTTCTGCCTGAATAAAAATGAGAAGTGTTTGTCCTCTAACATCAAATGAAAATTCATCCCAGCTAACACCTCAATCTCAGCCTTGGGAGGCTATCTACATATACCATGCTTATTTTATTTTATTTTTTTTTTGTCTGGTCGTGGGGCCTGAACTCTGGGCGTGGGCACTGTCCCTCAGCTCTTCAGCTCAAGGCTAGTGCTCTACCACTTGAGCCACAGCGCCACTTCTGGCTTTATTCTTTATGTGGTGCTGAGGAATCAAACCCAGGGCCTCAGGCATGCAAGGCAAGCGCTCTACCACTGAGCCACCTTCCCAGCCCATGCTTAGATTATTCTGACCTGCAGAAACTGCTGGAGGTTCACACCTGTAATCCTAGCTACTCAGGAGGCTGATATCTGAGGATTACAGTTCAAAGCCAGCCTGGGCAAGGAAGTCTGTACGACTCTTAGCTCTAATAAGCCACCAGAAAACTAGAAGTGGCACTGTGGCTCAAACTGGTAAAGAGCTAGCCCTTAGCAAAAGAGCTCAGAGACAGCACCCAGGCTGACTCTGGATATAAGCCCATGTGAATGTTTGGCAGGATCTGTTAGAATGAAGGAGCCACGCTGTCCCACGGAACTCTGTGAGCAACACTGGTGTCCCTGAAAGTAGAGCAACCACTTGTACCCCATGCACCTCCAGAAGGGAGCCAAGGCATGGGCAGAATCATCTGTAAGATGTTCTTGCAGAAAGACCTGCAACTGAATCCAATCATGTCTTAGAACTAATTTCCCTTTAAAGGAAATATAAAGGAAAAAGGCACAAATAAAAGGACCCACAAGGAAGCAAATAGGAAAAGACAGATTGTGGGATATTGTGTAAAACAACTAGCCTAATTTATTTCAACAAGATATAAACATGTAGTATAGCAAAGTGTGAAGGCAGGGCTATTTTTGCTTTAGAAAGCCTTAGCAGTAAACAAGTATGCCGTGTGAACCTTGCTAGGTTCTGAAGCAGATTTTGTTTTGGCAAGATGGTGACATTATGGCATTCCACGGAAGGAAATATTCCCCCCCCTTTTTTTTCTCTTTTGTCAGTCCTGGGGGCTTGACTCAAGGCCTGAGCACTGTCTCTGAGCCTCTTTGTGCCACTTCCAACATCCATATTTTGTTAGATGAATAATCAAGTATACACTCAAGTATGTATGGAATACTGTTATATCTGGAATTTTCTCTTTTTTAATTTCATTTTTTTATCTTTAAGTAGTTATACAAAGTGGTTGCTATTCAACAAAGTTATATATGAATACAATAAATTCTGAATGTCACCCCTTTCATCATGGAACTGTCTTTTAAAATTAAAGACCATAAGATTAAAAAAAAAAAAAAGGAAAAGCCAGGCACTGGTGGCTCACACCTATAATCCTAGCTACCCAGGAGGCTGAGAGGTTCAAAGCTAGCCCGAGCAGGAACGTCTGTGAGACTTTTTTTTTTTTTTTTTGGTCCAGTTGTGGGCCTGAACTCTGGGCCTGGGAGCTGTCCCTTGGCTCTTCAGCTCAAGGCTAGCGCTCTACCACTTGAGCCACAGCGCCACTTTTTGCTTATGTGGTGCTGAGGAATTGAACCCAGGGCCTCAGGCATGCAAGGCAAGTGCTCTACCACTGAGCCATCTTCCCAGCCCCTCTCTAAGTAGTTTAATGGAGCTATGTGACTCATAGACTTTGCTGCCTGGGCTGACTTTGAACTGCAATTCTCACATCTGTCTCCTGAGTACTGGGATTACAGGCATGAGTGACCAGTGCCCAGCCTTTTGTGTTGTTTGATATGATTTCCTTTATAGCTAAGATTCTTGGACACTGCATTTCTCTATTTACTGGCTATTGGTGTCTTCTGAGAACTGTTCACTTTGCCCATATAAAATTGGAATGTCCTTTTGGTGCTGATATCTGGATGTGAATCATTTTATCTGATGTGAATAGCTGGCAGAGATTCCCCTGGGCCTGGGCACTGTCCCTCAGCTCTTCAGCTCAAGACTAATGCCCTACCACTTGAGCCACAGCGCCACTTCCGGCTTTTTTCTGCTTATGTAGTGCTGAGGAATTGAATCCAGGGCCTTCCCAGCGTGGGTTGTTGGGTTTGAACTCTGGGCTTGGGCGCTGTCCCTCAGCTCTTCAGCTCAGGTTAGTGCTCTACCACAGCACCACTTCTGGTTTTCTGGTGGTTAATTGGAGATAAGAGTCTCACCGACTTTCCTACCTGGGCTGACCTTGAACCATGATCCTCAGATCTCAGCCTCCTGTGTAGCTAGGAGGCATGCGCCACTGGCTCCCAGCTTGACAGACTTTTGTTGTACATTTTCAAGTTTTGGAAGTACTTGTGGAAGCCTGTGGCTTCTCAGGACTTCCTGTAGTGCATAATTCCTACTGCCTGCCTGATGCTTGTGTCCCCACCATGGCCCCACGACGCTGTGAGAGGCAGGGCTGTGGCAGCCCAGAATGCTGCAAGTGAGTTCCTCTTGTCTCCCTCCCTCCCAGAGGAGAATTGGTGGCCTGGTGTACCCTGGGGTGCGGAAGTGCGGAGCCTGCACCATGGCCCCTCTGCCCGCTGTGAGGGTGGCGCTGGCTTGCTTCCATTCCCCTGGCGGGTGGCCGCCCGACTGCTTTCCAGAGTCTCAGAGCGGCTTGCTTCTTTCTGTTCCGCACGTGAGCCGGAAACACCAGGCTTGCACCTTCCTCATCTGCACCTTGCTAACATCACTCTAAGAACCAAGTATTTCTGTTTCCTTTGTCCTTTTTCCTACACGTCCAAGTGTATATTCAGGTATGCTCCTTCTGCATGAAAGCCTTTAGGTGGAGTTGCACTGAACTTCCACTGAACTTCTGCGCAGCTGAATGAGCCTTTTCTTGCCTTGTCCAAGTTAGAGCAGTGCATAAATTCTCTCCTCAGCTGTTTAGAGTTCACCATCCCGACCTCTTAGTGTTCTTTATGCAGATGCCAGTGGCATGCATGAGGGTTTTGAGGACTTAACTTCTCTGCTTCAGCTGCAGGGGAGGACCCCGCTGTCTGCTGAGTCTGAATTGAAGAGTAACCCAGGGAAAAGCTAGTTGAATGTGGATCACAACTAATGTGCCTTAGTTTTTGTGAGGATCTCGATTGTACTTCCAGGTTCTGCTTAGCATCACTAGTGTTATCTATGCCTTCAAATAGATCTTAAATATTAGACCCTAAGTTTATGAAATTAGTCTAATGCAAGTTATTTTATCATTATGGGAATCAGAATGGAGTTTTTTTTTTTTTTTGTCGGTCGTGGGGCTTGAACTCTGGGCCTGGGTGCTGTCCCTCAGCTCTTCAGCTCAAGGC